GTAACTGATCCTTTGTTTTTCTTTTTCTTTTGTGATAGATTTCAGAAGACAACGAGATCGGAATGAAACTTCTGGATAGATCACTGATGAAAAATGTTCAGGTGAGCTCTTGCGTTGTGTTGCCACTCAGTCATGATGATTTGCTTTTTAGATTTACTTTTGCTTCCCTTTTTTTGACAAGTGTCTTCCACATATTAAGTCTCTATCACCAGAATATGGATTCTGAAGATAGGTTGTGAAAGGTGCTAGAATCTGACTTTCGCCATGTCCCCCTCAGGACGGTCAGACATGCTGTTTCCTGCGTCTTGTGTTGCGTTTCTATGTTGAGAGAGTGTTCAGCAACTATGCCTCATCTGAGCCACAACAACAACGCTGCTCCAGCGCTCTGGCCAACGCTTTCGTGAGCATCAGAAGAGACATCCATAAATGTGTAAGTTTGCTCTCCAGTCTCAAAATGTGCTTCTTCTTCTTCTTTTAATGAAAAGCTGTCATAGATTGTAATGATAATTGTGCTTTTCTGTGTATAGCATTGCCAATGTGGAGAAGAAACCCAGAGAACAATTGATTCAGTGCATGCTGAGTTTATCAAGGTAAGACACACAATAAAATCTAAAATGACTTCCTGTCTTAGACGCTCAATAATAAGCCCCAACATCAGTTGTTGTAATTTTCCTAATATGACCTAGTTAGTTAGGGAAAAGCTGTGAGCTGTGAAACTTTGTTGTATGTCAATAATATCTTTATTAATGTTACTTTTTGTCTTGGATTTCAACAAGAAACAAACACAAATGGGTTACTATACAGAAACACAGCACACAGAGAAAATACCTAAATCTATAACTCACTTCAAATAAAACAGCCAAAAACTGCAATGATTTCTAAATCTTGTAAACTAAATTTTATTCACAATAGATTCTCTGAGTCTTTTGATGATATTATATTCTTGGTGTCCTGCAGATGACGAGATAATCAAAGCAGTTTTACTTTATTCTGAAATTATTCAACAATTAGCCGATGTTTTTGCAGATAGTTTCATCTTTGTCCATCTTTAGCTGTGAGAAACTCTGCCACTCTAAGAGGCCCGTTTTATACCCAGTCA